GAAATCCAACGTGATAACCAACTCCCCGCTGCACCACATTTAGCATATTACGCTATAATAAATCAATATATTGATTTAACATCTCAACGTTGGGCATTGGGCATTGAGAATTATCCCACATCGAAGAGAGGTGGGACAAACCTTGGGTATATAAACAATTGAATTATCAGCTCTTCTAAACAAAATGCTGGGATGGGAACCACGTGCGGTGCACATAAGATTTTTGCACATGCGCGACGCACGCGAGATGTATTCACACGCGCTGAGCATGGTGACGTCAGCCACAACAGATCTTGTGACGTCATACTGGCGAGAGCCGCCGGTTTATGACATCATGAGGGCAGTTCACTGCTCAGAACCAACGATTCTACTCAAGAACCGGGTGATTCCCGGTTTTACACAAAAATCGGCACGGGGTCACCGATTCCCGTGCTGACTCGGATGAGTCCATTGCGACTCGCTCATTTTTAAACCACTGGTCTCAACCTGCAATTCTTCTACAACCAAGCTACATTTTCTTCTCATTCTAAGATTTTGAGGGACTCCCTTGGCATGATGCAACAATTATACTCAGATGGACATATGGAAGTCATGATTGGGAAGAAGATGTGTTTATTTATGAGAAGGCAACAGGAGAATTTGGCAAATGTGGCAATCAACTTATGTGGTACAAATCCTCCCAGGTAGGTCCTATTATTAATTTATTCTTTATCTTCTTAAAGTTTAATACATACTAGAATGTCTCATGGTGGTTAATGACTATCTATAGCATCCAATTTCCATTTTCAGCAGATTGGTGGAACTATTTAGTGAGGAAGTCGGAACCCTAAAAAATTCGCCATTAAGATCCTCAGTCAAACGTTTGGTGCAAGTTGCGGCGAGTGAAATGGGAGAGTTTTCCAACGCATACACATGGATATGCAAAAAATGATGGAGCGCAAGAGGCTGAATGACTTGGTGTTTATGCACTATAACAATAGCTTGAGGAGGAGGTAATAGACTCCTATTTATCCATCATTATTCAATAAATGTAAAGTTCTAATTATGTTGAAACTTTAAATAATATGAATTATGTAGGACCTTGCAAAGATGAATATGTTTGGATCCCACTGACTTGGAGATGATCAATGTTGTAGAAGAATGGGTTATCAAGACAGAGAGGTCTGCTCTTGAAGCTATTGAGGAGCAAATGGATAATTGGATGGAGACATAACCACCACAAGAGGTAATTTTAAGTTTTTTACTGTTATTTATGTTTAACCTCTAAATACTTGAATTGGTTTATTTCTTAGAATACTATCATTATATTAATGACTTATTTTGCAATGCTATACTTTTAAAACTTATTAATCTGTAGTCTCTCTCATTAGAGTGATGGAGAAGATGATGATTTAAAGGTCAATCGAGGAATGCGATTATGAGGAAGGAAGAATAATGAGGAAGGAAGAGATGACAATGAAGAGGAAGTCTAGTGATTACATAATACATATGACTTGTGTTTATTTCTATTAGCTTTTATGAATAAGTGAAATGTGATCATGTAATTGACTATTGTAAGTTTGTAATAAGCAAACTGTGGCCCATGGGACGTGGAGTTCTGGTCTTGTGACTTTATGCTTATGTTAGACCTGTTCCTTCAAATTCAACAGTTCATTACTTCATTAAGGTTATTTTCATTGGTCTTGCTTTACTTCATTAAGTTCATTTTCATTGGTCTTGCTTGATGGGCAGTGCATCATGAGATTTAGAAATATGGACATAGCGTGTGTTGCAATTTTATTTCTTCCTAATATTCTTTTCTGAAATTTTTCCTATTTTCTATGTTTTCTGAATTTTTCCATATTTTTCTCTTTTTTCAAATTGTTTGAATCTTTTCTAACCCTTTTTTATTTATGACCGCCAGACTGGTGAACCGGGCCCTCTGACTCGACCGACTGAACGATGCCCTCACCAATTCAACCTCTGGTCAAGTCTTAACAACATTGACCAGATAACCAGATTGGAAGTTTTGAAGTTCGATGACACTAATTTTGTTGTAAACGGTAGTTTAGGATTTTAGAGTCTTATTTTCTTGCATCTATATAACATTAATAGAATATATTTGTCTAGCATTCATGGGCTATATTTGTCTATCTTCATGATTCGGGATGTATATTGTTTGCATTTGGTTGGATGTTGAACTTCATTACGGGCTTGTTCGATAACTAGAAGCAAGTTCATGAACTGTAAGTTGGAAGTTCCTGAAGAACTGTAAATTAGAAGTTACTTAAGAAGTTTATGGTTTCAATGTTTGATAACCACCCTGGGAAGTTCAGAAGTTCAAAGTTTCTGTGTTTGATACTTCCTGTGATATATGGTAAATATCTTATATTTATATTTACATTGATAATAATTTAAATATAAATATATAATATTTATAACACACTATAATATATGATATACTG